CGTTCCAAATAAGAAAAATATTTGAAGGGCAGAAAACAAGCTAGATTGGAGAAGCTCCTCCTTGAAAACAAGGGGCCTGAAAGAAAGTAGTAGCAGTGTTAGTCGTAGCTGAATTAAATAAATTCTTGGTGCATTTGTTGATTTTTGGTCTTTGGATGGAAGGGCTATATAATTGTCAAGGCTTGATTTTTTGCTCTGTCATTTTTTATTTGGCGGCTTCATGGATTCCAAAGCAGACATATCTTTATCTAAATATCAGGTTTAGATAAAATCTCTAGCTCCTCATAGTTCTGCTACTTTCACTATTCTTGGGAATAGCTTAGCAGTGCATGTGTTCATGCATACATTCAAAATAGAATTCCAAACTTGCCCCCTCTTTATGCGATTCCCTATCACTGTTACTGAAAAACAATGTGAAATATTATTCTCTTCTCATCCATATTGCTACCTCCAGCCAGGTGTTATGAGGGGAAGATGTTATTTGGATATGGAGGCTGCTGTTGGCCCCTTATTTTCCTAGATGAAGAAACCATCACTTTTTAAAGCATCGTCGAATTTAATTTAACCCTTTAATTCCTGATAATTTGAACGAATCAATCTTGAACTGTCCATATAGGAGTTTTCTTGCAAGTGATATTCACTTCTTAAACTAGAGAAAAGTACTAAGAATACCTTGTAGTATTAGATATCCTTTTTAGTGAACTCTGATTATTGCGAAACAACATACATTAAATTAAATCAACAAAATTATATAAGGATAATAATCATGTTGTCTGTTGATAAACTGCTATACTTTTAGTTCAAATGATAAAGATTCAAGTTCTAACAATCTCAAATATTTAAAAAAAATCAATGTTGGAACATTCTTAATAATCTAAATATTAGCTCTTTCAATCAGTCCAAAGAATCGAACAAAATTCAACTATGGCTCAAAGATATTGTTACGGTGGTTCACTTCACCCTATTTCTCTCCCCACCCCCCCACCCCCAACATGGCACCATGACAACATTATAGCTTCATTTTATTCACAAGTCACCAGGATTGGTCATCCCACGTGCAAAGTAGATGCGCATTTCCACGTGTATAGACACATCACGCTCCTTCCATGTCCAAAGCTGATGTGGATGGACATGTCAGGTGCCAAAATTGGGGGGAGGGGTTTATCCAAGTCCAACTTGCCAGATATACCTTCCTTGAGCAGGCTTATGCAGTGCCGGTGCAGGTGGACAGTTAAAAAGGTTAAGAAACATAAGAGAATTTTCTTTTTCATATATTTGGCATTTATTCTTTATAATGCACATCCATTGCAAAATTCCCTTTTATTTTCATGTTTCGATTCACTTTCTTGCAATAATTGAAAAGTCATTTGAAGATTCATATCAATTGGAGCCCTTTGCTCTGAATGCCCTTCAATTACTCTTTATATGCATGTTCGAAATGTCGCTTGACCTTGGTCTTCCTTTCTGCATCTCAAGGCCATGACATGTGCACATACAGAATAGAACCTGATGTTTTCAATCAAACTCCCATATGTTCTCTTATAGCCTGACGCTTGTGAAAAACAAACATGTGTTGTTAAATTTTTTAAAAAAATTTAGGAGAGAAAAAGGGAATGTTCTGTTTAATGTCAGAATGTCTAACTCGAATATGGTTTGCGGCGGATCGACGCTGGCGGGCTAGCTAGTTATCCGATAAAAGTAGCATGCCTACTGGAGTTGGGCTCCATTGCACATGAAACATTCGAACCTGTTAATGTAGTTTTTAATAATTGATGTGATGAGCTGCATTATTTTGACCTGCATAAAGGATTCAATATTGGCAATGGCAAGATTCCTAAGGCACGTGTACTTTTGCACGCAGCATTCCAAAGAAGGTTTACCGAGAGGCATTGTTGACGGCAATTGAGTTCATCTACAAGAATTCAGTTGGCTTTATTTATGTGAATAAAGAATGGAAGGAAGAAAATTTTGTATTTGCAAGTTACAGGCCACCAATAGAATACACTTAATTAAATTAGTTTTATAAACCATTTTGCAGGGCAAACCCTCAGACTATGGTATGTGGGGTCTCTATTGATTGCATGGCAAACATATTCAACTCGAAATGGGCATAAATGCTTGCTTGTTAGCTATTACAGGTTTGATAAGGAGGAATCCTAATCACCATTTTTTCTTACCAAAAATGGTGAATATTCCTCGTAGAAAACCTTGGAACTGCAGCCACTCCAGCTTTATTCTGTGCTTGCGACTGTTTTTCAGAAGAGGGCCATCTCCCTCCAATAAAACTTAGAGAATCCACATCCATTGAGGGATTACTTTTGAATTTTAGAAACTCTTCCCCTTCCTTGCCATGTGAATTAAAATTTTCAGCTAGGTGGCAGCACTTAAAATTAAGAAGTAAAACCTTAATGATGATGCTAAATTGTTATCAGCAGTCTTCCTCAGAGCTCGTTCCAGATGCCTTGGACAGATCACATTCGATCAAAGTCTGAAATACTTTTTGGCTGTTAAATCATCCAAAGCTACTTGGCTCACCCAACAAATCTGGTTGGTGTTTGGTGCTTGATACTTTTCAAATCGCTTTTGGTGGACAATTGGTTGGTGACCCTTCCAAGAGATGATAGATATTATGCTTGCAAAAGTTTCACCCCCTTTCCTTAGGTGTTCTTGTCCTCCATCTCTGGTAATTATTCCCATCTTTTCAAGATGAGAAAATGACTTGTAGCCCGGCATCTTTCCGACTTGCACCAATATGTACCAAATTACCTAGTGATTGTCAATCCATGTGGTGACACTGTTACATTAAGAACTGAATTAAAGTTCGAATTTCTAAAGGGATTGGATCAAGGTAATGAAATCGTAACCACTACCACTAAATATCTTAATCTACGACGTTAGAAGCCTTGCAAATACACCATATTTTAAAGCCAATTTAAAAGTTTCAGATTATCAATCAGACCAAATGTGGCATAGATTTGAACCCTTTCTGACAAAAGTTTTCTAGGATGTCTAAGATCTTGGTTCTCAATTTCAGCTTCATTGGATTCCATGATTTTTCGCTCATAGTTTAGAGTCTCCTAATTCACATCGATTCTTTGTCAAGAAATCGGTTGCATGTCTTAGGGTTTTATTTTTTTCATAATACATCTGGTTTTCCTGCTTCAATAAAAAATTTAAAGGGCACATCCAAATCCAAGGGGATAATTTGTCACTATCACTCATAAATACATGCACTCCAGAAGTCCAGATTTAAACGATAGATGTAAATGGAAGTGAATTTCTTTGTGCAGAAAGATCTGATCCTTGTAAATGAAAACCCATCTTTATTTATTTATATATAGACGATGGATTACATAGAAGCTGGGACAAATTGGCTTCTTAGAATACAAATTCTCCTTTTCCATCCCTTTTCTTAGCCAAGTGAACAGGAATGATTATGGACTATGGAGTACAACCCGAGTTTAAATCCAGATCAACTCAAACTCATGCCTCCATGTTAGGGGCATGCTTGAAGGAGTTCTTCCGTGCCGTAGCCAAAACAGTCTTGTCTGCAACTATAAAATAAGCAGCTCCACCCACTGTAATCGAATGGAAACTTTATTAACAACAGGAAATTATTACTAAAGGAGATCTTGATATACTGGTAAAAGGATGATAATGATGAAAACCTGAGGAGATTATGAGAGCTTGTGCGGCGTGATTAAGATTGGCTCTTGCCCAAGGCAGCATCCTTACACTAGCCAGCTGCATATGCATGTCAAACGCAAGGGATTGAAATGCTAGATTTAATCGTCTCTAACAAAAGAACGATCCATTACTACAATAATGAAGCTGTCTTTCATATACTTACAGTTGGAATGGCCGTGGCAATGCTAGCAACAATGGCTGCCTTTGCTCCAGCAACTACGCCCTCTGTTGGTGCAAAAGAAGAAACAGATCATCATTTTCAGATATTTTTCGTTTAAATAACAAAAGCAGTAGAATTACTTGATAAGATTAATCAAACCAAATCTAAAGCAATCATTCTCCCTAACCCTCAATTCTTGACTATCAGATGTTCAAAGTGCTATCTCCAATAGTAATTATTTTCTTTGAAACTGAAGCACTCACTTCATAATGTCAAAGAAGGCCCCGGGTCCAAGGATATCAGTGTCCCCAACCTTCAGAGATGGGGTTTTAATTTCTTTCTCTTTCGCATTAGTTAGTTGAGGATGGCAAATCTCAATAAAATTATTAAGATCCTGTTTACTCACTACTCTACTATTTAAGGAACGCAAGCATGCATGTTATGTCATGATGTTTAACATAAAGAAGTTACGATAAAAGTGCAAGTGGATGAAAATAGAAACGAAAAATATGATAGCCAGGAGAGAACTGAAACTGTGCCTGAAAAGGGTAAAAAAAAAAAGATGAAGAAAGATAAAAAGGAAAAGGAAACTTACCACGAGAACAACGCTTTGCCATGGCCAGCTTTTGGTCAAGTGAAGTCAAGGTAACAGGTTGAGCAACATTTTTAGCCATTGTGAAAGAAATATGATATCAAACAAAAGAAATGGCAACAATGAAACAAGTTCGATGGTTTGCCTGAAGAGAATGTGAGAATTGCATGGGTATTTATGACGCAAAATCAGGATGATGCCTCAGGTGTTGGGGGTTTAGAGTTTGATGGTTTCACTTGAATTCTAGCGTCGGGGACACTTGTTTTCAGATTTCTCCTAATCAATGTCGGTTTGGTGACGCCGCTCTCTTCCCTATTTGTCAGTTACTGAAGGACAAAATGTGACTCCTACGGTGCATGTTCTTGTGGTGCAGAGAAAGAATTTCAAAATGAGGCAAAAAAATTAAAAAATGTTTTGCATTTGTTATTGTTAAAGGTACTTTTGGTAGAGGTGAGTTGGACGATATCACGGATAACGAGTTTGATGAGAACTGAACTTACAGTAAGAAAAGCTAAGGAGTGTTGGAATTTAATTTTTTGATATTCAAATTAGCAAAATCGAGAAAATTAGGGTTAAGAAAAAAAAAAAAGATGAATTGTAAAGAGTAACAGATAAAGTTTTAGAGAGAATGTTTGAAATAGTGCACCTAAATATTTTTTATTTTATATATGAGATATAGGATGATGATAATATGTAAATAGATGATAATTGATGAAAAATTTATGTAAAATTCAAAAAAATTTTATATGAATTGAAAGTAAAAAATATTTATTGATCTCAAACAAATTAAATTATTATGAAATGATTTGTTGATAGAATATTAATAGGGTATTAGACGAATTATCTCCACGGATGAAAAAATCAAAGTAGGCGAGCAAATACAAGGGGCAAAGAGTATTGATTTAATGAATATGAAAATTACCATTATTGACTATGCAATTAAGCATAATAAGTACCCTACTGCTAATTTATAGAGCCGCTTAGCCCCAAAATTCCCACAAATATTAATTTAAAGAAGGATAAATTAATAATTATAAGATTTTTGTTATTAATAATGATAAAAATATTTATTTTCTTCTTGACAAATATCTTCTTCATTGAACAAATTCAACATTTTTTTGTAATTTTTGCCTCATTTTGAAAATCTCTCTTTTGTCTTGTTAGTTATTTAGTTATGCCCTCTCACCTAGAACTTAATCAGGAGGAGTATTTAAAGATGGAAATTCGTGCCACGCATCCGACGGACTGGATTAAATAGAAAGCATGGATCGCGTCGCACCACAATAGTTCTGATTGTACAAGTCGCCTTAAAACCACATTCGATAAAGCTACCCATGGGCCATGGGCATTAAGATTGGTTCAACTCGTATCACTTATACACGGAAATCCCTAATAACTGCTTTTATAATTTATTAGTTGAAGTTATGTTTTCTTTTGAAAGTCTCTTTTCTCTTCAAAGAGGTTGCAGATTCACAAAACCATGGGTAACCATTTAGTTTCAGGTTGATTTTTGGGAATATTGGCTTTCATGCACCTGCCTGCCTTGACCATCAGTGGACGCGTGTCCTGGAAAAAGGGCTGGAATTCAGGGGTTGCTGACCCTGGTGGGCTGCTACAGACATTTATAGTAACATGTAAAAATATCAAATATTTGATGGGTTTCTCTTGATAGTTCATGGTTTCTGGTTGAGTAAATATGCCACTGCCTGCCTGCTGCTGGGTTTGACTGTATTGGATTCATTATACATCTGACAAACATTTTAAGGTTGACAGTAACTTTCAATTTCCAAATAAACGAAAACATATGTACTGATCAAAACAAGTTGAGTTGGGTTTTTGTCGAGTTCTTTGCCCATGACTTGCCTGAATGATTTTAGCATTAGCCCATCCATCAAGCCTAACAAAATTTTATTCAAGCTCACAACCAAAATTTGTTTGGGATTCTGGAGTTCTTCTGAATTTGTGCGGTATCAGTCAGTCCATTATTTTATTGATGCCTTGCTTGATTACTAGGATCCTGTAACTTAAACATGTGATGTCTAACAAGATTAGTGAAACTTTTAGGCAATCCTGTATTGCGTGTTACCCACAGGAAAAAGGGCAAGCAAGATTTTCAAGTGTTTTCTAAAGCAAAGTTTCAGTTCTTAAATAAAGTAATAAAGCAAACTTTTCTATATGTTTAAGCTCGTGATAAAACATATTTCTCTCAAAAGTCAAAAGTTCTAACCCAAATCATCAGATTCCATTTCACTAAAAAACTTTGACTTATCCTTAATCCATCCCAGTGACATGATCCAGAAAATAAGTGTCAGATCTAACTTATAATATTAATGTATTTATTTTTAATTTTTTATATATCTAAAAAATCGAACCCATAAAAAAAACCAAAACACACTTCAACATGATAATTTTGTCACTTCAAACAAATGTGAACAAGTGTTTAATAGATTTCATCATCCATGTTCGATGAAATGTACTAGGGTATACTTAAAAAGAATGAAGAACTGGAACAACAAAACCAAGCCGCAGGATTCTAATAATATTTGAGACAAAGCTGGTAAGTAATTTTTATAATATGATTATATTATAATTAATTAATTAATGGGATGTAAAACCAATAAAGAAAGACAAAGAGAATTGGTGAATTTAATTTGAATTAAGTCTACGTTTTTATCATCAACAAAGATAGTCAAATAATCACTCTTCTCATATAATAGAGTTTGATTAGTATATAACGAGTTATATTCATGGGTCTAATTCTTTAATTTTTTTTTAATTACGATTTATAATTCAACCACATTCTAATAATCAAGTAAGTGATCCACAATATGATCTAATCTATTTTTTTTTATAAATGTTATCATTTTTATACCAATTTTTAGAGGAATATTTTGGTACAATATTAATAAAATTTTTAATTTTACAAATGAAATTAATATAATAATCCATATTTTTTAAAAATATATTTTAAAAGATATATGTTAACTTATTAATTTTACTTTTAAAATTAAAAATTATATTAATAATATATTTGATAATTTTTTAATCTTATTTTATTATACTTCCGAAACTCACGCTGCCATAACCTTCAATGCATTTTTAATTTACTTTTATTATTGCTTTTGATTGGGAGGAAAAGGGAGAAAGCACGAAAACATGATTGATTATTTGTTTTTTTTTTAATTTTTTTAATTGCCTTTGATCGGTGAAAGGACATGTGAATGCGTGACCATGAAAGTGCTTGTGAAAAAATAAAAAGCGCGGTCGAATTGATACAAAAAGTTACAAAGAAAAGCTTCATTTTAATTTTTATTATTATTTTCACCATCATTGAGAAAGAGTCATTATTGTCACCACATGAAATTCATAGACTTCTCATGGGAATCACATTGGAACAATTATGGGATCAATTGAGATGAAAAAAAAAACATAAAGCTAAATTAAGTTAATCATTTCAAAGCATAGAAAATTAGAGGCTTACAATAATTAATGTCTAAAAATTTTTCTCATTTGCTTGCTTTGGTGTCATGCATGATTTGACCTATTTTTATTTACATTTTTAGAGTTAGAAGTAGTCAAAATGACGAGGGATTTGATAAGGGGCATCTCTCTCCTCTTTGCTTAGCTTTGGTAAGTGAGCTTTCCTAATCTTGTAAAGATCGCTAGGGACTTCAGGTGGCCTGACTGATCGAATCAGAGCCCAATTCACTCCCTTGAAGAATTCATGACTCTTAATTTCAACAGAACCCTTCAAACTTCCAATTCTCTTCTTGGGATTCTTCATTAGGAGCTTGCTGATAAGATCTTCAACTTTAACCATCTCTTCCAACTGTTTGCTGCTATTAACACTGAATCTTGGGAAGGTTAAGGGCTGTCTAAGGATGTTAATCAATGTTTTCTCATTGTTTTCGCCTTTGAATGGTGTTCTCCCATACAACATTTCATACAAAAACACCCCTAAAGTCCACCAATCAACAGCACTTCCATGGCCTTGTCCTGAGATTACTTCTGGGGCTAAGTACTCGTGGGTTCCAACAAAGGACTTGGATTTAGCATTGATTGGTTCGGCCACCAATTCTGGATCAAACTTTTGGCAATCAGCTTGCTCTGTGATTGTTGTGACAGTAGCAGTTTTCTTTTTCCCGTTGGACGATGAGAAACATGAGAGCACTGGTTGCATGGGTGTGGCACATGAGGGAGTCAAACAGTTCTTGTCGTACTTTTCAGTATCTTCCAAGTTGGGTATAGGCCTTAACAGCTTTGGAACAACGTCACATTTGAAGGAAAGATCAAAATCTGAAAGCATAATATGCCCATCTCCTCTAACCAAGACATTCTCTGGTTTCAGGTCCCTGTAAACAATGCCCATCATGTGCAGATACTCTAATGCTAAAAGTGTCTCAGCAGCGTAAAACCTGTATTAGTTTTTAATTACCTTGAGTCACTGAACCATTCTTTGAATAAACAGAACGTCTGACTAAAAATAATTAGATAAAAGCTAATAGAGTCTATGGAACTTACTTGGCAGATGAAATGCTGAAGCGCTTTTCTGGTTGGCGTTGCCTAGCAGCGTACAAGTCACCACCGGGACAATACTCCATGACCAAGCAAGAGTAATGAGAAGCATCAAACTCTGCATACAAAGTTGGCAGAAATGGATGATCAAGCATGCCCAGAATATCTTTTTCCATGTCGGCCCTCTGCAACTTCTTCCTTATAGCAAGCGCTTCTCTATCCACCACTTTCATGGCGTAAAAACACTGAGGCAACCCAACTACAGGGTTCCTTATCTGGCAAAGATAAACATTCCCTATGTCACCGCTTCCTAACCTACGCAGAAGCCGAAAATGGTCAAGCCCAACTTGACCTATGGCTCTTCTTAGTCGCTTCATGGCTTCCCACGGGGCCTGGTTGGCCTTGTGTGGCTTGTGAGAGCTGTAGAGAGAAGTTTCAACAGAACAAAGAGAAACCGAGCTCCGACGGCTGCCGAAGCTTAGGTTGCTCATCCAGCTTCGGCTAGAATCAGGTATGGTTATCGACGAGGAGCTGCTGTCGTAGTCGGATTCATCTCTGGTTATGGCTGCTGCCATTGTTGTTGTTGGAGCATGTAACAGTAGCAGGAGAAGTTTCTGAGGGTTCTCTCTTTTGCTGCTTCCTCAGGCTTT